TTGTACTTATCTTTTGGGCTGTGTAGTATCCTGAAAAGCCTTGAGAATTTTGCTTTAAGGTTTCTAGAAATCCAAACAAACCATATCAAGCCAAATCTCTCTCATTTTCCTGATGGTTGAGCTCAGTAAATCAAAGTATTTTACTATATAATACACCTCTACAGTTGATTGAGTTCTACTTCAGATTACTTCCCAAAAGAGATTTCTTATGCTCTGTCTTTTCAGATGTTTGTCACTATTTTAATAATAGTTTCAAATGTCCCAAGGAATGCTGCAATGAATTAGTTCATAAATAATCAGCCTTAAACCACTGCCAGTTATTTAAAGGAAAAATTCTTTTTAAAGCAAGGACATGATGGTCTTCAAAGAGAAATTAGGAACTAAAGTGTTTGACAAAATTCTTATGTATTTGAAAGACTGTGTGTGGCTGTGTGCACATGTATAGTGAATAAATAACAGACAGTATTGTAAGTACGGTTTTTCATAACCCTGATTACAGTGTACTGATATGCTAAAACCTGAACTGAATGACAATTATAAAGCAATCTGCATACATTTTCTTAGTGCTCATACCAGAAAAAAGAAATCATCACCCACTTTTAATATGCTGGTAACATTTTGATACTTCCTGACTAACTCTAGAACTCATCCAGGGCTAACAAAACCTGGCTAAAATTAGGAAGATAAATACTTTTCTAGAAAAAATGATAACTCAAGCATCTCATAGATCTATGTATAGTAAGGAAAGACTATTAAAGTAACCCATAGAAATTTTCAGTAATTGAAATTAAATCAAACTGTCTTTGAAAATGAACAACTGCACCATCTTGATAGGATTTAATTATCCCTGTAAAGTCACTTTGTAGTATTATACAAGAATTGTCTGATTTATAGTGCAGAGAATACAGCTTGAAAATTGGAAACTAATGTGAATGAAAGAGGTGGCAGACCTATCTCTTGCTTGGCCTCCTGCAGGTCTTACAAACATCACATAGAAGTGCTGAGTCTGGTGATGGAACTACATTTATTTATGCCATAATTGTAGGGCTCAAATAAGTCACCAGAATACATATACATATACATAAATATAATGAGATTGCTTCCTTCAAAGTGTAAGCCTGTCTTAGAAAACTGCGACACTGATATACTTGGACACTAAATGTTGATAACACTGTCCTGAACCTGGTGTTTTATACCAAGCAGCATATGTGTAACATTGTCAAGCTGCACATCTTTTGATTTTCCTCTACCATTATCAGGAAGGATCATCAAAGCTTCTATATTAAATATTCTCATATTTTACAGCCTTCTTTTATTAATGTACTGAGGGAAAATAAAAAAAAAGAAAAATCAAACTGAAGCTCCCTTTTTCGAGTCAATGATTTTAACACGCACTCACAGAATCCTCATAAAATTAATAACCTGTGATAAAGGATGGAAGGAATAGGAAGAGTTTAATCAGTCTAAATACAGACTCACAAAACTGTGGCAGACACTGTGAACCACAGCTGAACCTACTGGGTTTTAATAATGAGGGTGGGGGAGGTCATAGAAATGTCTGGGATATCTTGATTTCCAATGTCCTTATTGTTAAGAGCATATTTATTTGTAAGTGCACACAAAACAACACCTTCAATATCAGTCACCACTCAACAGGCACCAAAAACGGTGTGGCATTTACCTTCTCTCTCTGAAAATGAAATTGCAACCTATCGAGTAGTAAACTACATAGGAGGGAGCAGAAGCTCCCTGTGTGGCTCGACTCTGAAGAATCACCACTGGCATCAGCTTTCCCTACTAGGGGTTCACTGTCTGCCATGAGATTTTCCTGAAGTAAAAGCCAGGCTGACTGTGAGTAATCATATTGCAGCCTGCCAAAAAATCTCAATGAAATTTATCAAAAAAATGTGCAGAAAATTACTTTCAACATTTCAGCATTCAGCTCAGCCTCTTTCCCAGAGGGAGGCTGAGGGCAGGGTAAGCAGCACCCACAGAGGGAACCATTGGTGGGAGAAAGGAGTCTTGTGCACCAGCACTGGAACAGGAAAGGAATAAGGTGTAAAAGCAGTGTGCAACTGCTTGCTGAAAAGGCTCTGAGTTAACACACTGCCTTTTCATACAGTCCCTATTCATGTTCCACAAGGTAACATGCTTTCTACTTATTTGTTTTCCTCATTCCATTGGTAGATTGGATTTAAAAGGAGGTTGCTTCAAATATTTACTCCTCTAAAATGTCAAACTGAGTCAAAATCACATCCATCACAAAGGGTGAATCATTTTTTCACATCAGACATTCAGGTTTGACTCATTTGCCTGCTGCAGGGGTATCATTTTTATTGCTAAAGTTCCTGTAATGGGAAAGAAGCATTCAGTGAATGAGCAAGATTGACTGTAAGCTACATGTGAGTCTTCCCTGAAAGAAGAATTCACATCTTTCTAACATAAGTTCATGTCTCTATACAAACATAGGGTGAAAACATTTCTACAGGAGAAAGCTTGAGCATACTTGCTGTCTTATTTGAGCCTCGCGTGGCCTGAAGCTGAATGTGCTAAAGCATGCCAATGTGCCAGCAGGTGTTGTAAGCATACTCTGAACACTTGGGCCCAACAGTTAGGAACAAGGATGGAAGGTCATTGCATTTAATGTGCTTTTGAAACTGTTTTGATCTTGCAGCAGGAAAAAATCCTGGGACTATCCATTCTACTGACTGGGTTGCTTTGCTCTGAGAATTTCACAGGCAAAGAATATAGCTGTGACTCACAGGGCTTGGTGTTTAGGTCAGAGTTTGCCTGGAAGAAAAGAATCAGTTGGAAATCTTACTCATTAAATGCTTCCTATAATTAATTCGTAATGCAAATAGTAAGGTTGATACAACTGAAGAGTGAATGGAAGTGTATGTGTTTTTAAGTACCAGAAGAAAGAGCAAAGCAAAGTGTTAAAAGAATGCCCTTTGATGAAAAATAAAGGACATGTTTAGAGAACACTGTTCCTGTGTTGTTTATGTCAAGGCCACAGCACAGAAGACTTGCCACTCTTGATGTAGATGGCCATGCACCCTGCCACCAGGAGGATAACATCCAGGTTGCAGCATATCACCCATACCATTATTTTTCCTGTTAGCCCACACAAAAAATAGGCTGTAGACATAGCCTATATATTTCAGACAAAGAAAAACGTACTAAGAGCTGGTGAACAATATAAAAGATCCCAGAATCACAGAATGGTTGTGTTTGGAAGAGAGCTCTGTCCAATCTCCCTCCTAAAGCAGTTTCACCTAGAACAAGTTGCAGAGGGTCGCATTCAGATAAATTTTTAATATCTCCAGGGACAGATTCCACAACCTCTCTGGGCACATCTGACCATCTGAACCAAAGAGACAGGATAAGGACTTAGTAGCTGCCATACATTTTCCCGTACTCAGGTGATGCTCATCAGACCACATGAGCTCACACCACATCTTGATGCTTGTGAGAGTATGGGAGTAAGCGTGAGTGAATGAGATCTATGAGGGAGTGATTGTGAGTTGAAAAATTTCAGCTTATTTAGAGATTCTGTACCTAAACATCACACTCCCATTCCCAAAACTCTCACACTGAATTTTGTTACACAGAATATCCTAAACCTTAAAGGATATAAAATAAATCTTAAAAAAGAAGCAATGTTCTATGCTTCCGTGACCCTACACAAAGAGAAGAAAATTAGCCTTTTTGTTTTCCCACTGAGAACATTTTTTGCAGTCCACCTTAAACATGAAAAGCAATTTTACTGAAATATTAATGCTGACATCATAAGCTACATCTAGCTACATTAGCAACATCAAGCATCTAGCTACATACAGCAGTATCTACTTGCATTTTGCAGATTCAGGTTTTGACACATCTATTAAAACATGTATGAGTAAGTGGTATTCTGCATTACACTAGTACGATTCCAGAACAACTCCATTAGTGTTACTGACTGCACTAGAATAAAAGTACATGGCTACTATGCTCTCATTCATTGTTTGGTGGGGGTTGTTTTTTTTCTTAAAGATGTGTATACAAAACCTTAGAGAGAGCACATTCTGTATAAAAGCTGAACAAAATGGTATCACCAGCTTGCTAGTGTATAATGAAATAGCAATCTTCAGTGACTTTACGATGTGAAAGTTACAGTGGTTTAGGTAAAAATCTAATTCAAGAAAGATAAAGTGAACAAAATGTAGTGTTTTAAACATGTAAGTACTCATGTTACATACTGATTTAGTAGATATATTAGTGCATAAATATGTACATGTAGTAAAGAAAGCTTTGAAAAATAGGAAAAATGTCTCACTAATACTGTCTGCAGTAGAAAGAAGATATTGTGCACACAGGACATTTTTTGAGTTCCTATAGAAATTCACGTATCCTAATTTCAGATGTCTCAGTCTAACATAGGCACCTCCAGAAGGTGAGTTGCCCACTCTGTCTTAGACTGACATGACTGAACCTCTTAAGGTATTTATTTCCTTGCCTTGCCTACAAAGGACACCTACAGTGACAAACTGAGAAGTAAACGTGCAATTTTTACATAGATGAAGTTATAAGGGCCCTTACAACTCTGCCTGTATAACACAGATCATCCCCCATTAAACACTGTAGTATTCCTTCAAGGCTTTCATTAGTTCTCCTCTTAACGAACATGCGCCCTAACGCTGAGGCATAATCCATCCTCAGTAACAAGAAAATAAAATATTTGTGTAATATCCATATTTTTAAGGTTTTTTTATTATTTACTTCTTATATAAGGTAGTAGAATTCTTCCAAGTTCTGCAGAAAAAAAATCCCATCCACTTTTTTTCTAAGATCTTGCAAAGCAAAACATAAATCAATTTTATTTGTGTTAAGTGCTAGCAAAACACTCTCCTGCCTTCCCCTGACATATCTTTACTTATGCTGGAAAGAGAATACTCCTTAAAAGAAAAAAAAAATAAACACTTTCTGAAACAAAAAGTTTATTAAGAAAATAATGACTTTACCTATTATCACATGCATGCCAAGTCTTGCCAAATGCTTCACAGTTTGGTAACCAATTCCTTCAGTTCCTCCAGTCACTATAGCAACCTTTCCATTTTGTGTAGGGAAAACTATATGAGGAAAAAAGAAACAATGCAAGTTTAGTTTGCAATAGTAACACAATTAAGAAGTTAAGATGTATTTTAAAGAGTATATATTAAACAGACCACTCAAGCCAGTCCAGTAAACAATCTCAGAAGCAAACTGCATAGAAATAAAAACTATGGAGTATCTGCCATTATTTACTGCACTATAATTTTCCAGTATGAACAGTTCATGAAAGACTGAGGTTGACAACACAAAAGGCAAACACCCACTTCAGAAATTTTCTCATTTCTATTTGTATGCATTTTGTCATCCTGCAGTCATCTGTGCTTTAAAATTTCCATCATAACTCCGTTAAAGAGCAAGGTGACAGCAGTTACAAGTCAGCTCAAGGACAGTTTATGCGTACAGGGAAAAAAGTTCAATCAGCAGCATATATCCTGAAAACTTCTTCAGCGACAGAAGACTGGCCTCTGCCAGTAACATGAAGGAAAGAGAAAACATCTCAGTCAAAGGTGACGCATCTAAAGGGCAGGAGGCAGCTGACCTAATTTCCCTGCATAGCTGAGCACTTTCTCTCCTGGAAATCACTGGGTCCTGAGCCCCAAAGAAAGGAGTAGGCAATTTTTTTGCAAGAAAACCTCCATCTGCTTTTCCCACCCCCACCAGCCTCTGCCACAGAAGTCAGCATCCTCGATACCCACTGTCAGCCCCACATTGCCTCAACCTCAACAAGCACTCCTTAACCCAGGGTAACAGACCACCCAGCAGGCAGGGTATGCTCCCAAACTCTCTCTGCTATAGGGATGGCTTAGGCACAGCCTGTGTCTCCTGCATCCCTAGGCAGCCCTTAGACTTGCCAAATGAGCCAAAGAGTGGCTGGAATGGTCTCCCAGCAGGGTGGCTGCCATCCCAAGTACAAGCTCTCACGCTGAGTGCAGGTTGCCCAGCACATCCCTCTACCATGGAGGGAGTCTTGCAGCCAAAGGAGAGCAAAGGCAGGATAATGTAACTGCTTGGGGAAGGCATTAATTATGTCAAATATCAACTACAATTTTTTTTACGAGGTGGTAAATGCTTCCTGTGAAGCATCACGTGGTCCTCAGGTGACCAAGGTGAATTTCTGTTTGCTTTTGAGTAGAAGCTGTGTATTTGCACAGGGAAAATGGCACTGAATATTTCATTTTGCTCTGGTGCATTGTCTGTAGGCAATGCTATAGATAACAAATGTTCAAAAGATGCCAACTCTCATCTATCAAAGGACTTTCTATTTTGATTTCTAGGTTTTTAGGGGATCACTTTGTTGTACAACACAAACTCATATTTACATGGTTATGAAACGCAGGCCTAGCACCGATACAAGCTGCTTTCTTCACAGCAACTTCAAAAAAGACCCAGGTTTCACCTTCTCTGAAACATAGTTCTTTACATAACAATAACAATTCAACATGAATTTCCATTCTCTTCAGGTAACTGTGATTCTTTCCATCCACGCAGAGTGGAATTGTTTGCAAGTATTTGAAAGTTAACTCCAGTTACAGTGATATCCATGCACACAGATTGTCCTGACATATGCCACTCAAACTAAACAAAACTTCACCAAGAGCTTTCCTAAGGGGTTTCAGTTTAGTCATAAGCAGCCCTGCAATATCCACCAAAAATATTTCTAATCACAAACTCTAAATAAAATGCCCACAGGTCCAAAAGAAATCTCCTCAAGAGAAAATGCATTCTTTTGGGCCTGAGTACCTTCTCCTCCTCTTCTGCCTGCCCATGCCTCCCCTTGCTTCCTGTCTTCTCACCATACTGCTGACCTGACATTTGGATGTCATACGTTGCACACAGGGGCTGTCACTCATTTCCATTAGTGCACCACTATATCTACCTATTGAATAAGAAGTAACATTTTAATGGAAAATTATTCACTTAGAAAAAAATCAATGGAACAAAAGGAGAAAGACAAGTCAGGACCGGGGAAGGGGCAATGACATGAAGGAAAATGAGAAGTCAGAAGTCAGATAAAGGATATTACTCTGATGAAGTGGTGCTTAGCAGAGGACAATGAAAGAAAATGCCCAGTCCTACCCTGTCCATGAGGCCTGCAAAGAAAACGAGAATTTTTTGGTCCTAATGGCCACTTAAATCAGCTACACTACCAGCCTGCAATGAAGAGCATGACAGATGGACAGACTCGCTCAGCTGCAGAGACACGTTCTGTTTAAAACAGGTCTGCTTGTAGCAGCTAGCTCCAAGAACCCAAGAAAGCACCCAGGAAGGGAGTAATAAGAGCTGCAGACACACAGATAAATAGACATTTTCTGTTTTATTTACAATGGGTACAGGACACAGCTCCCACATAGCATGGTTTTGAACAGACACAACACTGCATGGCACATCTCAGTCTATCCACTCACTTCAGTCAAAATGGGAAATGCAAACATCTTGGGGGTGGGGGAGAACCAAAAAAATTCCTCAATTAATTCCTAGGTTTTATTAATTTTTAAAATGTGTACAGTTACCATCAAGTCAGATAGCTTAATGTAAAATGAATCTCCATGAAAATGAAACACAGATAATATTTACATCAATAAAAGTGGTAAAGATCAAATCCAGGGTTGTGCATGTGAGATAGTGGCAACTCTAGTGAAAGGCAGTTTATTAGTGCCTGCTCCCACTAGAACTCCAGTGTCATGTGGAGTTTGCAGAACATCCACCTTTCAAGTGTGAAAACACCTCTTCCATGACGAAACCCAATATGAAACTCAAAGTAGACCTGGGCTCAGCCTGGTTTTTAAGCAGATACTGGTTTATTTTGTGCTAGAGGTTGAACCCAGTGCAGTTGGAGGCTGGAGCCCCCCAGGCAGGAGGCAGTGGAGACCCACCAGCTTTGCAATGCCTGGGGAGGTTCCCCCTGGCGCTTCTTGCACCTCATTTAAATCACCCGAGCTGGTTCTCTGCTTTTGCTCCTGGTATGGAGGTAGATACTGATCTCAAGTACAGAGGCAGAATGCCAGTGATCTCACTGTGGGACATGAGAACCTTACAGCCCTGTGTTAATGAAATCCCCTGACCAAGCTCTAGCTGTTAATTTTCCTTTGTGTTCAAAGCCTGCAGTCCTTACGTGCTGCTTTATCACATCAACCTCCAAGAGAAGCTTCTCCCAGGCTGCAGGTTCTGCCTGAATTCCAATGTATTTGGACAAAATAAGCCTGTTTACTTTGCAAGTGGATTAACCTAAAACAGAAAAATAAAGGCAGATTTATTCTGTCCAGATGTGAAGCTATTTTAAAAGAATTATTGTCCTTTCAAACAAATTTCTTAATCTGAAATAACTTCTATGTACAGAGACATCCTCACACAAATTGAATACTACAAAGAATGTAAGGCAACTCTATAATTTTTAAAAATATTAATTTTCAAGGGACTCTAAAAGAGGGCTGTCAGGATGTCTCTGCAACTGCCAAGACCACAGAGAAATAAGAAAGCATGCAGACCCATGTCAATGACCAATTCCATCTCAATGACCAGTTCCTGCCAGCAAAATCTCAACTCTGGGGTAGGGATGGGGGTCATGGAAGTAGCCAAATCAAAACTGAGGCATTAAACTTTCTCTTTTTTTGCAGAAATGCACTATGTGAACACAGACAATGCAAACTTCAGAAGAAGAGTTCCCTTTAAGAGTTATTTGCTTTAGTATTCTGTAATCTTTACATCACAGTGTGTTTGAGGTCAAGAAAAAAAAAGAAGAAAAAGTACTAAAAGTTTATGAAAAGTAAATTACATCAAATTTTTACAAAGTTCCATCTCCTACCCTACTAATCCAGAATCTGCATTGTGGCACATTATGAGTCATGTGGACATTAAAATATAATATCTTTATATTAATCTCCTCATTAATCCTCTTTTTAACACATCGAAGGCCAAGGGCAGAATTTGGATTGTCTTAATCAGTCTCCAGCCCTTATCAGGCAAGAATCAAGCATGGTTGAAGGCATCCAAAAAGCTGATCAGAGTGTCCATCTGTGATGTGCCATGCTGGAACCCGCCTGCACCTCCTGAACTGGCCACTCAGTGCAGGAACTTCAGTGGCATTTGTGCTGGAGAGATCCCTGCAGACAAATCCTAACAGTTATTTTTTTCATTCTTCCTATAACTGAATAATTTACATGCAAATATTAGGCCTGAAGGTAACTGGCAGAACCACAGATGGAAAAAAAAAAAAGAAAGAAAAAAAGAAGAGAACCCACAATGAATATTTAGTTTGATGACTGAATAACAAGAGCCAAATTTGGAGCACTCAGCAACACTGAGTAAGAAAAAGAGAGTAAACTGTAATTGGTAGTCTTCATGTGGACACAGGATAAAGCACAATCAAGTTTTTCTAGTTGGATAAAGAATTCATATAGTTCAGTCTACCATGGAATTATTGAGTAGTTTTTCCTATTGCAAAATATTCCGACTCTTTTTCCCTGATTTACACGGTGGTGATACTGAGATTATAGCCATTAAGATCCCTTCTAAGCAGAAAAATAATTCATTTGCGACTCTGAGAGGCAACTAGTAAAGTGCTGGGGAACCCACGCAGCTCTCAGCAATAGCCTTTTGTATGTGCCTTACAGTAACATCTCCATAAAGTTCTGGTTTGTTATAAACCAAGTAAACAGGGGCCAGACTCAAAAAGTCATTCCAGGACTATCCTAACAGAAGAAAATTTCAGGTGTTCAAGTCCTGACAAATAAACCAGACAAACTGTGCTTGCCTTAAGCCTGTCCTAAGCCTGTGCAGATGATCTTTCAAATGCAAATAGTCTTCCCAAATTTGAATACCAAAATCATTTCTGCCTTTGCTGCTTCCAATCACTTTTCTAAAGAGCATCAATATGCAATCAAGATTGAAGGCCTTTAAGGCTGGTAACCAAGTAGGTGGCAACCAGCCTGACTAGTCCTGTGAAAAGGTATCCTGCTGGTTTCAGCAGTTGAGACCATCAGACCTTCCACTGATGAACAACTGTCATGTTCACATGCAG